GGGCAGCGTGCAGGCAGGGGACCAAGACTTAGCAAGGCTCCTGAGCTGGGAAGGCAGGAAAGGGAGGCAGCTCTGGCACCCGCTCATGAGCCTGATTCCTCGACATCAGCTTGTCAAGTGGCCCCAGCTGGGGAGGGATTGCCCCCCCCACCCCCGCCTTGTTGGGTAGCTGGAGCACAGCAGGTGCCTGGCCTCTGGATTTCTTGAGAGCTTTGGACACCATCAGGATCTGAACAAATGCCCTCCTTCAAAGCAGCCATGGCTGGCCAGCCCTCTAGCCCCTCTGGTTTCAATAAAGGCCAGTCTGGGACCCAGAAGAAGCCTCAGACTCAGAGAGGCTGCTGAACACGAGGTGCTGGCTGTGGCCCCAGAGCCTCCCTTTGCCCTTGGTGGTCCTTGACTCTGCTGTCACCATTAAGCGAGGTCCCTCCATTAAAATGGAGGGCCAAGCACGCACAGAGGACCCCTTTGTCATCCTCTTAGCACAGCTGAGACCAGCTGGCATTTTCACAAAGGGCTTTACTAAATACTAAGGGAGAACAAAAGGGAAATAATTACAGAAAACACGAAAAACCCAGCCCTGGCTGCCAAGTTCCCAAAGTACAGGTTTCCGATCCTTTGGTGACGACGCGTCGCCCTGAAGGCCAGGGACAAGGCTGCGGGCACCTTGCCTGGCTTCCCTTGTTCGCAGTCCTCGTGGCGGGTGCCATCTTGTTTCCCACCCCTGGGAACCACTTGGTCACCCATGGGCTCTACTTTTGTCTCCTTTCCAACCTGACCCCACCCCAGGCCCCCCACTAGGTTCTGGTCTCTGGCCAGAAGCATGAGCCTTGTCCCTGGGGGCCAGCTGGGCTGTGGTGACCAACCCAGGGCGTGATTACATAGTAATGGGAGGTTGTCCTCCCACACTCACCCCTACCAGAGAGGCCCACCCAAGTTGTCTTGAGCATGGGGTCCAGGAGGGCTACCTCTGATGACTGAAGGACAATTGGGTAAGGAATGGGAAGACTTGGGACATTTTTCCTATGGAGGGAGGAGAGAGTGCTTGGAGGATTGATCCAACTCAACACACATTAAGCCCTTATTGTGTACCAGACACTGGACAAGGTACTGTCTACCCTCTCAGACCTACAGTCTGAGGAAAGAGGCAAGTAGCTGGGCAGTGATGAGACTGAGAGCGAGGTGCTATGATGGAGAGGCAATTGAAGGTGCTGGGGGAACCTGGGAGAGGGGTGTCCCACCCAGTAGTGGTGGCCAGTGAGGCCATCACAGCCTGCCTGGAAGAAGTACATGGAAAGAAGGAAAGGGCCTCAGAGTTAAGGCCTGGGTGGGCCCACAGGAAATCCCAGCCCAAGAGGAGGAGGAGAAGGCAGAGGAAACCAACCAAGCAGCTTCTGGCTGGTGATCTTGACTAGCTGGTGGCTACAGCTTGTCCAACCTATAAAGTAGGAAGGCCCTCGGCCCCAGCTGCCTGCTGCTGTTGCTGTCCCTGCCAGCCAGGAAAGGAGAGATTCTAGTCCTTGGATACTCTCCTTCTCACTCACCTCTGGTCATACCCAGGTCTGGGGCTCAGGGACGGGGTCAGAGGGAATGTGCTTACCCACTACCACCTGAGACACTGCTCCAGAGGCAGATACTGAATTGCCATTATAGGAATAGGAAAAGGTCGTAACTGGGAAATAGTTCAGAGGGTCAAAACAATGAAAAGGCTAGGCCAAAATGGAAAAATAGGTCAGGAAACTGAAAGGCTAGAAATTGGGGTGGATTGAGGCAGATGAAGGCTAAAACCATGACTAAAGCAAGGTGTGGGAAGCCCTGTGTCTTGGGCCAGCCTTGGGAGGAAGGGGCTGGTCTGGCAGCCTGGCATGCAGAACTAGAACCCATGGCTGCTCAGGGTGACTACTGTCATGGCCCAAAGTGTTTCCATGGTCTAGACCCTTCTGTTTATATTTGCCCGACTCCCTGTGACAGGGTCAGTTCCTGGCCTAGGATGACAGCTTCTCCCTCCCACACATCAACCTTTCAGAGTCTGTCAAGCACCCACTTTGCTCTAGCAAAGGGAAGACTCAGAAAAGGTTCAAGACAGGGACTCTACCTTCAAGTTATTTGCAATCTGATTGGCAGAGAGAGCTTATGCCCCTCAAAAGAGCTTGGAGAAAGACGCAGGCTGACCCTCATCTGGTTGCTTCCTTAGTAGCTAAATGACTATGGGCAAATGACTTAGACTCCCTGCACCTTCATCTTCCCATCTTCAAAATGAGAATAATTAAAACTACCTCCCAGGGTTGTGGTGGAATTCAGCCAAGTTGAAGTGATTCATGTGCCAGGCACAGGGCTCACTATACATCATTTCTCTCCCTGCAATGCCAACAAATGATTATGATGATAAACAGTTCAATGTGGAGTTTCAAGCATTGACTCTCCGGTGGATCTACTCAGAAGGCCTTGATGACAGCTGGGACCTGATGACCTGGATGGTGATGGTGAGAATATACAGGGCATGGGAGGTGGAGGCAACACACATGCAAATCCTTCCATTGTTTTGCTCCTTGAAATTAGCAGAAGCATAAAATTCTTTATTTTCTATCTGTCTCATGTCCATGATGGCAAGGACCATGCTCTGTAACTTGAATATTTTTGTATCTCTAATAAGAATCAAAAGTTGAATCAGAAGTCAGGCTGTTGGTGAGAGGAGTGTTATTATTCCCACTTTGGAATGGAGGAAGTGGGGGCCCTGAGAAGTAGAGGAATTTACTTGAGGTTATATGGCTGATAAGGACTGCAGTTCAGGGGAGCAGAGCCACCAGCACACCTGCCCTGGACTGGGTGTGAGCAAGAGTAGGCTTCTATCTAACCCATGGAAATGTTGGGTCTCATTGGTCCCCCCCTCCACCGCCTACCCTAGCTAATTCATCTCATGACCCAAAAAGCCAGGTTTAGAAGCATATGGTCCCCAGTTTAGTGATAGAACAGGCCCATTTGTGGGAACCACAGACATTGTCCAGGTATTGAGCTCACTCAAGAGTGTAGAAAGAAAGGAGATGCTCCAGCCGCCTGAACCAGTACCCCATGAACAGAAATTTTGAGAGAACCTCTGCACCGTATCCACAGCACCTGGGGCAGTGCCTACAGCACAGTGGGGCTGAAGTAGTTTGCATCAGATGAAAGGATGAATGAATACAAACACACGCACATAAACAAAACATGCGCCCCTCTACGCACACAGTTACAGGAAAATTTACCCGATGCATATGTGCTCAAAACCTTCAGTTATAGACAAGCAGATACAATACAGATATTTAAATACACGCACTCCAGCACAGTGCACACATGTGCCCACATACAAAAATCTAAATCCAAAATAAGGACACACATAAGCACATGTACTACACATACACAGACGTAATGGGCAAACATACATGATCCAAACATGCACAAACACACATCTACTCATCCTCACACACGTACACAGCACTGCCGGGACAATCCTCCACCATGACCCTGGGCCCAGGAAGGAATCTTTCTGCTCCACAAGCCATAGCATGTTGGAGCTTGTTGGAAGGTTCTTTGCAGCCCTCGCGTAGCTGGCTGATGACTGGCCCCTGGCTCTTGGACCTCCAGGCTTGGCCAGGCAGGGAGGCAGCATCTCTGGCAGGCCTGCGTGGGTGGGCGGGCAGGCAATGGACACAGAGGTCACTGGGGTGAGAGCTGGGGCTACCCTGGCCTCTCTGCTCCTGGCTGGAATGTGAGCGGTAGGGGCTGCCTCCCAGGCCTCCCCCTCTCCCACAGCGCCCCAGGCCCAGGCCAATCTATGACTCCTGTCAGGAGCCAGTGGGCTGTGCATGAAGGGTGGTGGGGGTGACAAATGCTCAGGGACCACAAGAGGGCACACACAAATAGGATGTACAGTCTCACACGGAAGCCGGTCCAGATATTCACCCACACAGAAAGACACACACACAAGGATGCAGGCAGGCAAACAAATTCACGATCCCACACAAATGCACAGACACACTTGCAAACACACCTGGAGACACAGCGGACACACACACACACACAATCACACAAGCACAGAGATACTGAGACACCAGACCCACACAAAGCCGCACTTGTACATATATGAAACACACACTCAGACCACATAGACTCACAGCACACGTGGACCTCCGCGGTCACACACCGACAAACAGACCCCCGCCGATTTGGACCATTTCCTCCTTTTCCTGGGACCGGGAGGAAACGCTGCACTAGGCCCCTCTCCCAACCACGTGTGACGGCCTGAGAAAACTGCTTGCCACAGAAGGCAGTGGTGCTGGACCCTCGGCCCGGTGCCCACAGCCGGGGTGCCCTGCTGAGTGCCCGGCCAGAGGTGGGGTGCCCGGGGTGGAGAGGCGGCTCTGGAGTCCCACTTTTGTCTCTGCCGGTTTCCCAAAACCACACGGGCACGCACGCACGCACGCTTCAAGAGGGCATGTGCATGTGCAACCTAAACAGGCAGGGGCGCTCTGGGAACCTCGGCTTCTTCGTCTACCAAACAGGCTCAGTAACCTCGCGCCCCGAGGACGGTGGGCGGCACAGGTGGCACCGCAGGGGGCCAGGCCGACCTCCGCCCCGCGCGGGAGCTGGAGCCGCGTCCCCGCGGGGGCCGCTAGGTCCGGGGCCGGTGCAGTCGCTGGGCTCCCCCACCTGGCGGCCGCCCCGCGCGGGCCTGGAGGGGCGGGAGCGCAGCCGCGGGGCCACGGGCGCCCCGCCGGACACCGGGCACCGCGCGGCCCGGGCGGCGGCGGGCGGGGCGGCGGCCGGGGGCGGGGCGGGGCGGGCGGGGGCGCGGGCGGCGAGGGCGGGGGGGGCGCCCCTTCCGCGCGCTCGGTCCGCGCCGCCGCCGCCGCCGCCGCAGCCGCCCCGGCGGCCGCTCCCAGGCCTCGTCGGCGGTGGGCGGGGCTGGCCCGCGGCCCCGCCCCACTCGCGGCCCTTGAAACCCGGTCGCCAACGGGCCGCGTCCCAGAAGGGAGCTGCTGTCGGAGGGGGAGGCTGCAGCTCCCCTGGCCAGCGGGAGAGGCCCCGGGGTCGCGCCGGGCGCCCGACGGGCTCCACCCGGGGACCCGCCTGCCCCGCACCGCCCCGCCCTGCCGGGCGCTCCGCATCAGGTGCCCCGGCCCCAGCCCTACCTGCGGGCCCCAGGCTCCCGGGGCTTCCAGAGGATGCTCCGGCCACCTGCGGGGACCTCGAGGCAGCAGTGAGGTCCTCTCCTCCTGTGCCAGGGGCTCCCCCAGGGGGCCGAGCATGGTGGTTTCCCCTTGGAACCTCCTGGCTTGGGACGTCTGAGAAGATGCCGGCCATGAGGCTGTTCACTTGCTTCCTGCAGCTCCTGGCTGGGCTGGCACTGCCTGCTATGCCCCCCCAGGTAAGACCTATCCCAAACCCCAGCCTGGCCCCCCTGATCTTTCCAGCCCCCAGCGCTCGAGGCAGGGGTTCTGAAATCACAGACCCACTTGGGGGAGCGGCCCCTCCATGGATGTCCACACACTTCCCAGGAGCCAGGCTGGACCACGTCTTCTGGGAGGAGACCTCAGGCCCGGCTGTCTCAGACTCCAGCTCCGGGGTCTGTCTTGGCGGGGGCAGGGAAGCCACAGGGAAGGGAGGGAGGTTTCCTGTCTGGCCCCTGGAGCCCTGGTGGCTTTGCTAAAAGCATCTCTCCACTAATCCCAGGCGGGCCCCATGACCAGGCAGGCGCCCCCAGGACCTCTGACCTGGCCTGGTGGAAGGGAAGCCAGCTGAAGAGGCCATTGGTGGGGAGGCTGGGCCCTCCCGCACCAGGCCTCTGGGTGAGCCCAGGGCTCCTGGGTGGGCTGGGGGCAAGACAAGAGGTCCTGCTATGCCCTCTTTCTTGGGTGGGCAGTTGGAGTTTCTGAGTGCAGGGCCTGGGGAAGAGAGCAGGGCCCTTTTCCCAGGAGCCGGGTGAGTCTGGCTGGGAGCCAGCTTGGGCAGTGAAATCCTGACAAAGCCAATGAGATCCCTTCCCTCTGCACTGTCCTGCTGCTCTAGGAGTCTCCAGCTCCAACGGAGGAGCGGGTGGGCTGGGCAGCCCTGCAGCGACAGATGAGCCCCATACCTGCCACTGCTGGTCTACTGCAGGGCTGGCCTGAGGTATAGCCTTACCGGCAGCACCAGCTCATGGCGCCACCCGCTCCAGCCCCTCAGCTCCCACCAGCTGATCACCTCCCCCGGGCTCTGGCATCTAGCCAATGCGTGCTGCACAGGGCCCAGCAGGCCTGGCCTGGGGCTGGGGAGAAGGGAGACCCCTAAGGTCTGCAAAATCTTTGAGACACGGAAGGCAAAGGGTCTCCAAAATCCTCTAGCTTCCCACCCTTTCCAAATGAGGAAACTGAGGCCAGAGAGAAGGGTGGGATCCATCCAGGGTCTAGTGAGGTTTTAGTTACATCCGGAAATGGTTAGCTCTGAGACAGGGCAGAGTGTGTGCACCAGTGGCAAGGAGCTCAGAGGGGCCTCTATGCTCTTGGCAACTTGGCCACAGAGCTCAGAGGCCCAAAGTGGACCCCCTCATCTTTGTCCCTTTTTGTCTGCAGCAATGGGCCTTGTCTGCTGGGAATGGCTCATCAGAGGTGGAAGGTAAGCACGCTGGGCTGTGGATGTACATGCTCCCCAAACCTGCTCCTCCCAGTCCTCTGCAGAGGATAAGAAAGGATTGGCATAAAGGATGGGTACAGACTGATAATGGAGTTCAGGAGCCTGCAAGCTGGCTGACATCCTGGCTGACAAAGTTGGCAGGGCCTGAGAGATCCTTCTTTTGGGACCTAGAGGCCTAATGAAGTGTATTCCTGGGCCAGGGTAACCCAGTGCACAGAGAGTAAGGCTGGGGCCAGTATACCCAGGGTCTGTCCCATGGGCATGGAGCCCCTTCCCAATATGATGTCGGGAGGCAGATGGGGTCTTGGAGGGCAATGCAGGCAGTGAGAGGGGTCCGGGAGCTAGTTGCAGTGGCAAGCAGTCAAGAGGATTAGGGAGGGGTGAGGACACCTTCCAGAAGCCCAGCCTTGACAAAGCTGCAGAGATCTGACCAGGCCTTTCCATTGATTACAAACAGACAGAACATGAGTCGTGCCCTCCCTGGCCCCTCCACTCCCCACCCTGGGTTGCATCAAGAGGGAATCTTCAAAGGGTGTGTCATTTGCCAAAGAGACATACGTGCAGAAGGCAGGAGTCCCATGCCAGCCCCCATGCCTCGCTCCTCCCTCCCTGCCTCTCTGGGACGTGCAGCAAAGCCACACGCCACTACTGAGGCTTCCTATGGCTCCATGGAGGAGGGAGCGTGTAGGGACGTGCACACGCACACTCGTGATAGTCTCCGAAAGCCGGAAACACCCTCCCTCTGCTGCCCTGCCTGTCTGGTGGCCAGCATCAACTAGGCCAGGCCATGCTTCTGGGCCCCTTGGGCAACTAGTCCTAGGGCCCTCGGGCACTGAGGAGGTGAGGAAGGTAGCAGCCCTTAACTTCACTGACACTCCCTCCCTCTCCACGCTCTGCCCCCTGGGACCAGCACAATATTATGCTCTTGGGATTTGGGGGGGGGCCCATCAGCCATCTTCACCCCATAGCCTCTTTGACGGTTTTTAGTGTATTTCAGGCAACAGTTACCAAAGAAGTCCTAGCCTCCCTTTCCTCATCTGTAAAATGGGAACATTAGATTACATGCTATCCAAGGTTCTTTTTCTAAGATTGTGGGATTCTCTGACTCCATGGGGGAGACAGACAATCTCCCAGGGACAGGGGTGAGGAGGCTTAGAAGTGTCAGTTCATGAGGGCAGCTCACCTGTCATCCCAATCAGTCAGAGACCCTGTATCATGGCCAAGAGAAGTACCTTGAGTGTTGGACCGCAGTCACCACAATCTGAAAATGACACCCCCTCTTGCTAACACCAGACATGAGACAACACGGTCTTTACTTTGCAACCATGGACATTGATCTTTACTATTACTTATTATTCTCCACATTTTACAGAAGAACCTGAGGCTCGGAGAGGCCCTTGGGAGTCTGGTAAAGCCTCACACGTTCCTCAGTATACGTGGCAAAGTCGGTGTGCATAGCACCAGGCCTCCCCGTGGCTCATGGCTGAGCAGGCATGAGCAGGATGTCCCTTTGGCAGGCTGGCTGTGTGCCCTGCCACTGCCATGGAGGGGACACCTGTCGAATTCAGGCTGGTGCCCAGGGGCCCTGCCCGGCTCCCTAGGAGCTTGCTCTCAGGATTAAACGCTTCCCTTCCTCGGTTGCCTCCATCCCGGGGAGTAGGCAGCTGGAGCCCGATGGGAGGCTTGCCCCTGGGGCTGGCAAGAGATTTGCTGAGAGCCGCCTTGAGGCGCCGGCGGCAGCCCCATGGGACTGTCCAGCCCTGGCCAGGTGCCTGACAGAGCCACGGTCTCCAGTTCCTCTTACCTCTGGAGCAGGTCCGGGGCCAGAGGAAGTGCTCTCAGGAGCAGCCGAGCAGAGTTCAGTCTGAGGGGCTTGGCCCCCATCTGGGAGCAGCCCCCACACTCTGGGAACCAGCCCCTCATGCTGCCCCCTCACATAGCTTCCTCTGTTTTTCCCACATGCCCAGAAAGTGGCCTCCAGGGATCAAATGCCCTCTTTCCTGGTAGCCACCAGGTCAGCTGGGCTCAGCCTACCTCCTTCTTAGCCGTCTACCCCTTCTCTCCACATGATCTGGCCACATGGCCCAGAAAGTGACAGATTTCAGAGCCCTGGAGCCTGGGTCCTATTGACACCTTCTGCATGGTGTGGTGTGGGATGAGGAAAGGAGATCCTTTCTGCCACCAGACCCAGGCAGCTCTGCTTAACTGGCTGCAGCCTGCCAGCCCAGCTGGGTCGCGGGGTGGGGGTGGGGGAGTCTATGTGGGGAAGGGGCAGGGGGTGAGGAGCCCCTTCTCTACTGCTGACCCTCCAACGGCTGGTCCCAGAGCAGGAGACTGAGCTTTCTTTTTTTAAAGATTTTATTTATTTATTCATGAAACACACACACACACACACACACACACACACACACAGAGGCAGAGAACACAGGCAGAGGGAGAAGCAGGCCCCATGAGGGACTCGATCCCGGGACTCCAGGATCATGCCCTGGGCCGAAGGCAGGCGCTAAACCGCTGAGCCACCCAGGGATCCCGAGACTGAGCTTTCTATGGCACTTTGGCAGCTGGCTGTTCCTCTGCTGTTATTTATGTTGTCCGTGGCAGAGATTAAACATTCAGAGTTACGTAGTGTTCGTGGATTTTAGACTAAACATGTGCTCATGGAGTTAAAATAGGAAGATGCTCCCCTGACCTTGCACTGCACAGGCTCACTTCCCCGGGGCTCTGTGGCTGCTTACAGGGAGAGGGTCTTGGGTCCCACTTGGGTCTGGGGAGGGTATCCCCGTGACCTGGAGAGATAGGATCAGGGGAGGCATCCGATCCCCCACCTGTCCCCAGGCCCAGTCCCTAGAACCCCCAAAGTAGACAGGGTGGATGGAGCAGCAGACACTCAGATAAGCACAGTTTATTGCCTCTGTGGCTGCCTCGGCCAACTCCACGTGGACATACTGCCTCTTGGGTATTTTCCACCAGCTTGCAGGCCTTTCCCAAGGGCCTCTGCTAGGGATGAAGTTTATTTTTCCTCTGAGATTACCCTGAGACTAGGCCTTGCAGGCTCAGTGGAATGGACTTTGGCCCCTTCTGCCTCCTAGGAAAGACCATGGGAAGAATTGAGGGGCTGCCAGGAGAGGCCACTGCTATGGGGCAGACGCTGCAGGGTCCAGCTGGCCTGCCTGTCCTCCCCCACCAGCTGAGGACAACCATCAGGTGTAGGGCAGGATGACCCAGAGTTGGAGATGTTTCTCTGCCCACAGTCTCAAGGCTGGGCTGGGTTGCATGCACAGAATCTCAGACCGTCTGTCAGAGCCCAGAGAGACCTTAGCAACCATCTATTCCCAGCCTTCTTGTTTTCCCTCGGCTGAGGAAACTGATATACCCAAAAAGGTTAAGTGACCTCCCCAAGGTCACACAGCCAGGATGGGGCCAGGACCAGAAGCCCAGGTTGCCTAGCTCTAACTACTCACTTCCTATGAGCCTCCTTGGGGACCAGGACCCAGGCCTTCTCCTGAAGGAACAGCATCTTTTGAGAGATTCTGGATCAATCCGCACAAGATCCTAGTCATGACCACACCAGGACCTGGAGGGGCTCGGGGATGTCCCTGATAATCCTCAGTGAGCTAGCATCTAAATCAGTCAGTAATTACTTTGCCTGTGTTTACCAGGTTCTTGGGTCTCTGTCCTCACATAGTCTCGACTTGGTTATAAAGGAGATAAGAGCCACTAGTGGCCAAGAGAGGGCAAACCCTAGAGTCAAAATTCTGCTTGAAGGAGGAACATTTGTTCATACTGGAGAAGTCAGAGAAGGCCTCAGAGAGGAGGTGGGGTGGTGGGCTTTATTTGGTTAGAAACAGGAAGGGGACCAGGAGCAGATCCCAAAGGTGGGAGTTGTGGCCATGCCGCCGGGCCTGCTGTGAGGGCCCGTCCTACTGATAGGGAGAGTGGGTTTGGAGTACATCGCTGGCCGCGGCCTTGGCTGCCAGGTAGAGGAGCTAGCCCGGAGCGGGGCAGGAAATAAGGACTCGGGGGAGGCTAACCCTCCCTGTGGGACTCTGCAAGTCAATCGTGCAGAACTGACTGTTTTTTGCAAATTCCCCACGATTGAGGAAGCACTTGATCAGGCCTGAGAAAGACCTAGAGGGCCTGAGGAGCTGCCAAGACGCTCTCCTCAGAGCTCCACCGGCACCAAGGCGGGATGTGGGCATCTGCGGAGAGCCTGGACACTGAGAAACCCCATTCCACCAGGATCTCTGTCGGGCAGATGAGCAGTGGGGCCAGCATGGGGAGGCATCATGTCAGGAGTTCAGAGCATGGGGAGCTCACTGGCTAGGAGCTTCCTGGAGGAGGGAGCAGGGGTGCTGAAGCTGGAAGGGCCCACAGGCCCTGGGGAGCAGGGACTGGGGCTTAGAGGAGCAGCCTCCTCCTGGCCTGACCCAGCTATCTGCACCCCCTCGTAGTGGTGCCCTTCCAGCAAGTGTGGGGACGCAGCTACTGCCGGGCACTGGAGAAGCTGGTGGACGTCTTGTCGGAGTACCCGGATGAGGTGGAGCACATGTTCAGCCCATCCTGCGTCTCCCTGCTGCGCTGTAGTGGCTGCTGCGGAGACGAAAACCTGCACTGTATGCCGGTGGAGACGGCCAATGTCACCATGCAGGTGGGTGCGCAGGAGGGAAGGGGGTCACGGGACTCCAGCTAACTCCCAGGCCCAGGCTCTCTCCGCCTTGGTGCGGTGCTCCCCCTGCACAAACCCCCTCCCCACATCCCTGGGCCAGCTTGGCACCCACTCCCTTCCTCCATTACCACCTTCCTCCCTTAGGAGCTTTCTTGGGCTCTAGCTTGGTCCTACCCCAAGACCCAGGGATGTCTGGCTGAGCTTGGAAAATAAATCTGTCCAGATTCAAGAAGCTCCTGTGTATACCAGGAGCACTTGGCGCCCTGAGCTCTGCACTCATGTACACACACACACACAGTGGTTTACTGAGCACTTGCCAGGAAGGCCTAGCTCTGTGAGAAGCACCTTATAAATGTTACTTCTCTTACCCCAACATTCAGTCCCACAAGGCACAGAGGAAGAACCTGAGGTTCAGAGGTGTCATTTCACTTGCTCAGCGGGTAGAGGAACCAAGATCGCACAGAGGTCTCTCTGACTCCAGAGCAGGGCCCCCCCTCCTACGCTATTGCTGTGCTGGTGGCTCTGGGTGAGGAGGGACACACAGGCGTCAGGGCTGTTTGCCCCCACTCAGAGCAGAATGAGAGAACGTCATCCAAAGGCTGGTGGGAGACAAGGAGTCTGGTCCTCCCCACAAGGAGAGGGTGGAGAGAATACTGGAAACCCATGGCCGTCCACCAATCCAGGCATCCAACCCTTCTCTCCCCGAAGCTCCTGATGATCCATTCTATGGGCCGGCCCTCCTACGTGGAGCTGACCTTCTCTCAGCACATCCGCTGTCAGTGCAGGTAGGTTCCCCAGAGAGGGGCAGGGAGGGGCCCTTCGTCCCTGGCAGCCTCAGCCACGGCTGCCTGCCCCAACACTCTATTCCTGGCTGAGGGAGACCAAGGAAGCTGGGGACCATGGCAGCAGCCTTTTATCCCCCACACTGGCCGGTTTGGCCAGGGGGGAGGTGGTCCCATCAGCTGCCCAAGAAGCCAGAGGGGCAGAGGAAGCCTGGATTCCTTCCTAACCTTGCCGGGGCTGGGGGCATACTCTCCCCCTTTCCGAGTTGGGAAGGAGCTGCCGCAGCCCCAGAACTGGTGTGGACGGGGGTGGGGCGGGGGGGGGGCATTGCTCACCTGGACTTTGTTCTGGGCCAAGCTGGTTCCTCAGAGAAGGGGACACCAGACTGAGGGGCATGGAGGGGGATGAGGTCTGGCAGGAGAAAAGAGGCAGAAGGAAGGAGTCGGTGGGCTTTCTTTAAAGTCATGCCTCTACCTGGCAGAGACACTCGCTGCCTTCGCCCGGGGCACCCTGAACATTAGTTATCAGGGGCAGCAGGCTTGGCACTTTAGCCAGGCTCAGGGAGGAGAGGGATGGGCTGGAACCTGGTCCTCTCCTGAGACCGCTGGGCTGTGGATGGAGGCAGCCGGTCCTGAGCCCTGTCCTGGAGTCAGAAGACAGGGAGAGGACCACCATGTATTGTGTGCACCTCTCCTGTGCCTAGCCCCACACTAGGCCCTGGAATGTTTTCCCATTTATTCAGCAAACATCTATTGATTGCCTACTGTATGCCAGGCACCATCCTAGATGCTTGGGATACAGCGGTGAGCAAGACAGACAGGGTCCCTCCTCTCATAACAACCCTAGGAGGTAGGTACTATTGTCCCCATCTTACAGATGAAGATACTGAGGCTTTTACAGTTACATCGTTTGCCACAGCTAGTGAGTGAACCCCAGCCTGTCTAACGCCCCTAATGCTACCTCTCCTGGCTGTAAGCACATTCTTCAGGAGCCCCAGTATTGTCTTGGGCTTGCCCTGGACACCTGTCTGGGGCCCCTCCTGTCCGGGGCCCTGGACACCCCTTTTGGATGTGAGCCCAGGCTCTAGGCCCTCTTCCCTGTACCTCTGTTGGAGGCCCTGCTTTGATCCATTTCCTCCCTTCCATCCCGGCCAGGGCTTAGCCTGACCTGCAACAACAGGTCAGGGGTGAGCCCTCCTGGGCACAGGGCCACATGCTGGCCTCTCACCTTCTATGTCACCTTTGCCCCTCACAGCCACTCTTTTGGGGCAGGCAGACTGGGGAGACTGAGGTTCCAAGAGTGTCTCATCCTGGCCCGAGATGGCAGAGACATGACCAGGCAGTCCAAGAGGCCCAAGCAGTGCCCGGCGCTGGCTCCCAGGGGAGATAGCCAGCCTGGGGCAGCATATTCCCTGGTGCCAAAGCTGACTCTTACCACACTGCCCATGCCCCCACCCCTGTTCCCAGGGGAGACTGAGGCCCTGTCCCCTTTCAGCGGGCTGGGCAACAGGGACACCTTTCTTCTCACTTCTGGGCCACCCGCCACAGCCCTGGAGGCTGAGCCAGGATATGCCTGGTGACTGGGGCTTGTGCTCACCTCCCTTCCCTCCGCCCCCTCACGGACTCCCCCTACTATTGCCTGCAGCCGCAAAAGTCCCCAGGGTGGGGGTGATAGTAGTGCCCTGCTGGGCAGCCTTCGCTGGGGGCAACCATCCCCCGGTCCAGGGCCTTGCCCTTCGTTCACTGTCCTCGCAGAAACTCCCAGAACGCACTCTGAGAGGAAGGGCAGGTACAAGGGAAGGAAGTGAACAGAGAAAGTCAGCAGAGAACAAACTCACAAGTCCACAGACTTGATGCCAAGAGGCTAGGCGGTGCATCAGGGTGTGGAAAGGGGCCCCTAGAGGAGATTCTTCTCTCTCTCGGTGGGGTCACAAGAGCCTACGGTGGAAGCTGAAGCCCAGGCCATTCCTCCCTCCCTGGCTCCACCCTGCCCCCTGGTGGTGTCAGCACTAACTGCAGGACCAGGGCTCTGGAGGTCTAAGAGATGTGGGGGTGGTGGGGAGCCCCACAGGCTGGTTTCCTGACTCTCCCCTGGTCTCTCTGTTTTCCCAGGCCTCCGTTGGAGGATATGAAGCTAGAAAGGTAAGTAGCCTGGCTGGGGCTCCGGGCTATTTTCGGGCCTGCCAGCCCTTGTCCTAGCATGGGGCCCCCCAGCCACTTTGTCTTGACGCTTTTGGCTTATTGCAGGAGGAGACCCAAGGGCAGGGGGAAGAGGAAGAGAGAGAAGCAGAGACCCACAGACTGCCACCTGTGAGTGTGCGGAGGGGGGGACCAGGGATGGCAAGGAGCCTGGGCCAGAGGGGAGCCCCTGCCCTGCCAGCAGGGATCAGTGGTCGGGAAGGGGAGAAACCAGGCCCAGGGCAGTCTTGGGGCAGAATAGGGAGCAAGCATCTCCTAGAGAATCTAGGGCCCAGGAAGCATCAGGGGACCTTGGTTCTTAAGTGAGCTGAGACCTGAGTCCCTGCATGGCCTTGAGAAAGTCATGTCACCTCTCTGAGCCTCGTTTCCCTCTATGTGTAGAAGGAGGAGAGCATTGAGCCATTGTCCAGACACCTGCCAAGCACTTACTGTGCGCCAGGTATCTCAGTGAACAAACCAACACCATTCTTGCTCTTACAGTGCTTACGTTCTAGTGATGCAAAGTCCAACAGCTGAAAGCGTATCCAGGGCTACTTCCTGGTGGCCCTGGGGAGGTACAGGCCCACCCCCCGCTGGCTCCTAGGCTGGCATTTTTGCTACCCTCCCCCCAACGCAGGGGACCTTGAGGGTCCACTAGCTTCCTCTCTGCCTCTCAATGTCACCTACCCATCTTGGCTTCACACCTGCAGGTTGGAGCTCCCGCCCGCGTGTGGCTGGGAGAGAGTGAGAGAGGGGAAAACCCAAATCTGTAAGAGTAAATAGTGAAGCTATTTCACATGCACAGAAATTAAGGCGTACGAGGGCTCTCCTGTAGAGCCCATCTCTTGCCACTGCCAGACTCCAGGAGATGGTCTCCTACCCATGTCCCACCCCATGAGCCCTCCCCTCCATGAACAGAGACTTCCACCGCATTCCATGAAGGCAGGGATTCCGGGTATGTTGGCACCCCGAATGTGAGTGGCCCTCATCTCTCCCTTGGCCCCAGACATGGACTTGAAGGAGGAGCCTATGTGGGGCTCCCCCAACCCCTGCCAGGCAGCCTCAGATAAAAAGTGTCTCGTTGCTCCATCTGCCAGGGCAGTGGTCCCCAAGACCTCTCATTTGGGAATCTTATGAAAGAATTTGAAAAACTCCTGTGCTCCTCTTCTTATTTTTAAGTTGACATTGAACTTTTTCATCAAAATTATAAATCATTGCAAAGGGTATCATTTCTGGTATGTTATAAATGTTAATATTTTAGTAGGGTCTTTATATGTCCTTCAGGTTACCCTACAGGATAAGCCATTCCAATACTCACCATCATTCACTTTTAAAAAGCAGTGTGAATGCTCTGCTCTAGTGGTTGCATATTTACCTTGCTTCTTTTCCCCTTGACCTTGTATTTCCCTTCTACTTCCCCCACAGAGTTTCAGCCTAACTTAATATGGTCGAATGTTCAAAAGTCCATGATGTATCACCTTGTCGTATTTATCTGTCATGACAATGGTATATAAATTTGAATTATTTTCAATTTTCCCGTGAACAGAAAACAATAAATTAAGTTCTCCCCTGGAATAAATTATCACAATAATTATTAGTAGTACCAATTGATCAAAACAGCACAAATACATCATGTTTTAATAAATGCAAAACATAAAAGTATAATCAATCTTACCAGAAGTGCATCTCAATAAGATGGAGGTGGCTACCTCTTTTTAATTAGTTAATGAATCCATTAATGAATGTTCCCTCCTGCCAGCCTGAGACAGGATTCAGCATTAATTCCATTCTCATTTTTTAATAGATGGAAAGGTTGAGCAACCGTGCTCCCATAAATAAGCAAATGGGATGAGATGTCACACAGTCAGTTGAACTCCTTCCAAATTCTTTGCCAAAAGCGCCAAGGTGATCTGCTTACAAAAATCACTCCTCTTGACATATTAGCTGACAGTTAGTTCAGTTCAGTCGTTCTTTGGTTTGGTTGAAAGCAAAGACTGGGAAACCACTTGACTTGCAAAAGCCATAGCAGCCGGCCGAGTTGTGGGTCCTATCTCCTTTCTCAACACTTAGAGCAATATCTCAAGTTGTCCTTTTGTTCACTGTCCCCACACCTGGAGTCTCACCCTGGGGCTAAGTGCTGACCTGGATTAGGAAGGGACAAGATGCTTCTTTCCTTCCCAAAGGAAACAGGGCAGTTGTGGGCAGGGCGGTGGGAAAGCAGACCTCAGGTACTTTCTCACGCAGACAGTTTTCAGGCAGAGGATATGTGAAGGCTGAAAACGGATTCTCTTAATGCCTTCAGTGCTCACATACCCCTCGGACAATCTCCGTGCACATCTAGGGTTGCCTCTACCCCCGGGAGGAGACTGCCGTCCCAGAGTAACCAGAGGTGACATTGCGTGGAGCCAGACTGGGTTCAGAGTTGGCTCCCTAACACGATCTGTGTGTCCTCGGGCAAGTTTCTTACCATCTCTGAGCCTTAGGTTGTTTTTGGGCTTTTTGTTTTTGTCTTCGAAAGGGAAGTGATAAAAGGGTCTTCCTCATAGAACTGTTGTCAAAGGGCCTGAAAAAGTGCTTAGCACAGGGCTGGGCACCCGGGTAAGCGCTTGGTGGAGGGGAACGCCTAGCTCCTCGGCCTGGGTGCAAGCAGAGACCCAGGAATGCCACAGTCTCCCTGTGCTCCCTGTCCAAGCTTTCCCTCCAGGTTGGGCCCCTCTCCCGTAGGAGGGACCCCACCCTCACGGGGTGCTGACACCCCCTTTCTGTGTTTGGTCTCTGGCAGGTGCGGCCATACTGTTCCCCAGAGGTAACCGGCCCCTCAGAGGAGAGACGCCTCACCCCGGCTCCTGTATTTATTACGGCCACACTCAGTTACCTCCCTGCTGACACCTGCCCTCTATTTATTAGCCAATTGTATCCCTGCTGAATGACTTGCTCCCTCCAAGGTGAGGGGCAGGGAGGGACAGGACCCTCAGGAATTCAGTGCCTTAAACAGAACGTGAGAGAAAGAAAGGAGGCAGCAGCAGACCCACGTGTGCATCAGTTGGAGAAGAAGCAAGACCTGTGGCTTTGAGAGGGGCAAGCCAGGCCCCAGCGGGCTTCCCGGGAGCGGCCGCCTGTGCCTGAGCCTTGGGCTCTCTGTGGACCAGCAGCCCTGGTTTTCGGGGCTCCGGGCCAACAACGTGAGGGTGGACAGGTGCAGGCTGGGTGGGAAGGCAGGCAGCAGACAGAGGAGTCCTGCTGCTTCCTCCACCTGGCAGCAGCCTGGCGCCCCGGAGATCCGAAAGTGGGGCTCTGGAGACTGGTGGCTGCCTGGGGGTCTCGGCCACTCCTGGTCCCCTCCGGCTCTCCTCACATCTTGCCACCGCTGCTCATGCTGGGACATTGTGCTTTATGGTCAAGGCATCACCACCTGCCCCTCTCAGGGACACAGGCGAAGAGGGAGCCCCAGCGGGATGTGCCTCCAGCCGCCCCTGCCCCTGAGCGGCTTTCTGACTGCCAAGCCAGATTCTCTTGAATAAAGTATTCTAGTCTGGAAACAGCTTTTCTAGGGGAGTGTGTCTGCGGAGCAGTGGGCAGCCACAGTGGGAGGTGGAAGCAGGACAGAGGAAGGGGTGATGGGCTCAGGGGTTTGCTCCTGCAGGACTCTGGGGTACCTTTCCAGCTGCTTCAGGCAAAAGCTTGGGGTCCTTCCATTGTGAAGGGCTCCCAAGATGTAATCTTGGCCTCGAAGTTCAGCCACCCTGAACACCCTCAAATTCAAGAGCACGCTCCTCTTCCCCTTCCCCCAGGGCCACCCCACACTCACTCCGGTGCCTGGCCCCCAGGCTCCTGGCCCCAGGCTCCTGAGCGAAGGGGGGCTCCCTGGCTTCTCCCGGCCCTTGGAGGAGGTGTCCCAGCTGCAGCACCCCCAGCCTGCTCTGGCTGCTGGATGTGGGGATCTGTAGATGCCCTATTTTTTACCTCCCATCTTCCTCTGTCTGCTTTCTGAACACCTTGGCATGAGATAAGAAAAAAAATTTTTTTTCTTTTTTCAGTCCAAACCTTAGAGTGTCAGATTCCCACCTGCCTGTGACCTTCAAGGAGCACGTGTGTTTATGTTGTATGTGCTGTGGGAGGGGGGAGTCGCCATTTCTGTCATCTGCGGCTACTCAGGACAAACCCACAGGGGCTCAGGGGCAGGGGCTGACCTCAGGCTTTTGAGGGAAGCCCTGGATGGTCCAGCACCTGGGGCGGGGCGGGGTGGGTGGGGTGGGGTGCGGTGCCAGCTGCCCTTGACAATCTGTTCACTGAAGCTTGGGCCCCGTGGGGAACACTCTGGTCAGAATGTGATTCTGGTATGGTCACAGAGGAGATCTGGGCTGGCGTTGGGGGCAGACTTTGCAGGAGAAATGCACTTCTCTCCTACTTCTCACGTCGGGGCTGCAGCCATCCTGGGCCACTGCCTTTGATAGATGGAAAGCTGAGAAGAGCACCCCTTCCCCTTGGTCAGGCCTCTGGCTCAGCTCCAGGGACCCCAGCCCAGCCCCTGGAGCAGGTCCAAGGGCCTCAGCCTCACAGGGTTGCTCTCCTGGAGTCCAGCCTCTCCATCCAGACCAGTGACCCCTGCAGAGAGCCAGAGACCAGAGGATCTCCTGGGGGCCAGAAATGAAAAATTGCAGCTAGTAAAGAAATTAATGTTAGTGCTGTAATTAATATTGTTGTTTGTTAGTTTGTGATGCTCTGCATCCAAAGCTGGGAGGCTCACAGCAGGAAGGGGTAGGAAGGGAACTTACTGGTCCACTTGACCATATTAGGTGTCTTTTAGGTCTTAGAGGGCCCTCTTCATTTGCTCATTCTGTTTGTGGAGCACCACCTGTGTACCTGACACTGTCCCAGGCGCCAAGGATTCCATGAGGAATAAAACACGCAAGGACCTGCTCTCACATATCTTATACTTGAGTAGAGAGACAGACTCTGACCATATGTTGTAGGATAGCGGGTGGACTTTTCCGTTGCTCAGATTGATGACTGCACTCAGGACTCAGGAAAAGGGTGTTGAGTGTCTCACACTCTAAAACAGAGAGAAACAATTGGGGGCTGGACACATGTGCCCACAGGATCCATTGTGAGACAGCTGGTGTTTGCCAGCCCCAGACACCACCCAGCACCCCCTTCCTCAGTCTTCAGAAGCAGAGACCAGGGAGAGGGAAGGGAGAGGTGGGGAGGTGAGGTTAGCGGAGGCCCGGGTGGCTTGGCCCCTTCCCATCCTCTCCCTGGGGCTGGCCTCGCTGTGCAGTTAGCCCGTGTGCCAGCTGCATGGTGGCTGGCGTGAATGGAGAACTGAAGCGTGACAGGCCAGAGGGAGGGGCATCCAGCAGGACTTTCCCATGGGTCAGGGGACATGCTGGAAGGTGAGTGGCCCTGAGCTGCCCTCCTGTTCTCCTGAGAGGAAAACGTGCAGATGAGGAGACCCCACAGGCAGTGGGCTGCGGGTGGAGAGTGGGGGCAATTGCTGGGTGGGGGCTGTGAAATACAGAGCTGGAAGGGGAGCACATCAGGGAACAGTGCTGTGGGGTGCCCTGCAGGGTGCCCACAAGAGAGTTGGCCTCCTGGGATCCCTGGGTGGCGCAGCAGTTTGGCGCCTGCCTTTGGCCCAGGGCGCGATCCTGGAGACCCGGGATCGAATCCCACGTCGGGCTCCAGGTGCATGGAGCCTGCTTCTCCCTCTGCCTGTGTCTCTGCGCCTCTCTCTCTCTCTGTGTGTGACTATCATAAATAAATAAATAAATTTAAAAAAAAAAAAAAAAGAGAGTTGGCCTCCACATGCCCAACATGCCAGCTGCGTTCACAGCCAAAGAAGACATGGCTGCAGCTAAGTAGTCCTTGTCCCCAGTCACTCCTTCCTGACCCTGTGTGAAAGCACAGAAGGGAGTTGTAGAGAGGGCAAGGCAGGGTACACAGAGAGACTGTGCCTTCCCTGCTCCCTTGGGTCCAATCCAGGCCCTGCCTGGGGGAGGAGAGGGATTGGCCTTAAATGGGACAGAGCAGCCCAGGTCGGGCTGCACCTATCATAAGTTAAAGTGAAAGGAACATTAGATGATCTTCCCAAAATGCTATTAAGAGACAGGAAAAGGGGGCGCCTGGGTGGCTCAGTCAGTTAAGCTCAGGTCATGATCCCGGGGTCCTGGGATGGAGCGCTGCATCGGGCTCCCTGCTCTGTGGGGAGTCTGCTTTTCCCTCTACCTCCCCCTGCTCATGCTCTCTCTCCTTCTCACTCACTCTCTCTCTCTGAAGTAAATAAAATCTTTAATAAGTAAATAAACAAAATATTTAAAAGAGAGAGAGAGGGATCCCTGAGTGGCGCAGCGGTTTGGCGCCTGCCTTTGGCCCAGGGCACGATCCTGGAGACCCGGGATCGAATCCCATATCAGGCTCCCGGTGCATGGAGCCTGCTTCTCCCTCTGCCTGTGTCTCTGCCTCTCTCTCTCTCTCTCTCTCTCTCTCTCTCTCTCTCTCTGTGACTATCATAAATAAATAAATTAAAAAACAAAAACAAAACAAAAAAAAAAACAAACAAAATAAATAAATAAATAAATAAAAGAGAGAGAGAGATGCCTGGGTGGCTCCCAGTCAGTTAAACATCTGAATTCGGCTCAGGTCATGACCCTGGGGTCCTGGGATGGAGTCCCACTTTAGGCTCTCCACAGGAAGTCTGCTTCTCCCTCTCCCTGTGTCTCTGCCCCTCTCTGTGTGTCTCTCATAAATAAATAAATAAAATCTTTTAAAAACAAAAAGAGAGAGACAGGAAAGGAACAATCAACAGAGTTCATCTAGACACGATGAGAGAGAAAAAAACTAGCTTGTTTTATACTCACTGTTTGCTCAATAAGCAAGTTACATGTATAGACAAAGATATTACTAAGAAAATGTCTTCTTCCCAACATGCGGTTCTGGCATATTCGAGATGGCCTTGAATTCTTTGACATGGCCCTCCTCAAGAGATGAGGTCTCCAGCAGCCCAGGTGGCTCAGCAATTTAGCACTGCCTTCGGCCCAGGGTGTGATCCTGGAGTCCCGCGATCAAGTCCCGCATCAGGCTCCCTGCATGGAGTCTGCTTCTCCCTCTGCCTGTGTCTCTGCCTCTCTCTCTCTCTGTGTATCTCTCATGAATAAATAAATAAAGTCTTTTAAATAAAAAGAAAGAGAGATGAGGTCTCTGTTCCTTTCCTTTGAATCTGAGTTGACTTGGGTCTTCTCCCTTAGGTGGAAGAGACCCAAATGGTTCCTTCTGAGTGGCCTGGCAGCTTCTGTGCTGGTCTCTTGGAAGACTGGACTGCCATGTAAGGAGTCCAGTTATTGTGAGGCTGCCATGCTGGAAGGAAGCCCAAGCAGCCCAATAAAGATGGAGAGAGAGAGTGCGCTTGTAAGCAAGAGGAGTGAGCTCAGCCAACCTCGGGCTGTTCTAGCTCCCAGCCATTAGAGTCACCTCAGCTGAGCCCCAGGGAACAAAGATGAACTGTACCCACTGTGCCCTGTTTGATTTCCTGGCCCACAGAATTATGAGATACATTAATAATAAGTTGTTGGGGCCAGCTTGTCATGCAGCAATAGGAGCTGAATTGAATATGAAAAAAATAAGAAAAGATGATGAGGTTGTGTTTAGGGGAAGGTACTCTAGGCCAGGAGACCATGGAGGGCCGCTGTGAAGGTGACATTTATGGTGAAGTTCGAAGGGCAGGGGGTGGTTGGTCACGCGAGGATCACGAGTAAGAGTACTCAACCAGAGGACACAGAGGTGCAAAGGCTTGGAAGGAATTCCAGGCCGGTGGGAGTGTGATGAGCAATGGAAGAAGGGCACAACGAGATAGGATGTCAGAGGTAGACAGGACCAGGTCATAGGGTCATGAAGGGCTTTATAAGACGGGGTGAGGAGCTGGAATACTGTTATAATATGGAGGGAAACCATTGGAAGTGCAGGGGAGTGAAGTGATATTAGGTATGTTTTGGTAAGATCCCTCTGCCTTCCGTGTGGAGAAGGGACTCTAGGGACACCAGACTAGAGGTACAAGTGGCCCTCTTAGAAGGCTCTGACAAACCCAGGCAACAGGCTTGTTCCAGGAAATACTGGGAAGCAGAGAAGTAGAGTTTGGTCTTAATTATACATGGGAGCTGGTTGTGCTGATCATACCTTCATTCATGAGCATTCTTTGAGGCAACTAGGAGCAGGCCTTTTGTAGTAGATACACGTGTGAGGGGAAAACTAGATTTCCACATGAAAGTCTTCCCAGCTTCTGGCTTAATAAAGAAAAATCCCCTTCTGTGAGACAGGAGATTGAGAGAGGTCTTAGCTGGAGAGGCTAAGTCAATCTACCTTAGAACTAAGAGAGTTAATGGAAGGGCTAGATCTAGAGAAAGAGCCTGGGGTTTTGTTGCAGAGCTCTTGACAGCTTCTGGTAACTTGGGAAGTGAAGGAAGGGTTTGGGGGAGTGTTCCTCATGTTCTTTGAGAGATGCTCACTCAGAGAGACACCAGGCAGAGACCAAACCCAGTGGAATACTGGA